ATTCCCTTCCTATTCACGTATTTGCCGAGGTGCTTCTTGAATACTGCTGTTCGTGTCTGCTTCCACCACTTCTGGCAGCTCATTCCAAGCACTCGCCACCCTTTGTGTGAAAAACTTGCCTCTCACGTCACTCCACAGTCCCCAGTAATTGACCCTTCCACCCTGGGAAAAACCCTCATACTTGCGACTCTGTCCATGCCATTCACAATCTTATAAACTTCCTGCTTTCCAGTGAAAACAAAACCAGTCTACCCAACCTTTCTTCATAGCTAAAATCCCCCATGCCAAGCAACATCCTGGTAAACCTTTTCTGTACCCTCTCCAAAGCATCCACATCCTTCTGGTAGTGTGGTGACCAGAACTGTACGCAATATTCCAAGTGAGGCCTAACTAAAGTTCTATAAAGCTGCAGCATAACTTGCCTATCCTTATACTCCATGCCCCTTCCAATGAGTGCAAGCATGCCATTGACCTTTTTTACAACCTTATCTACCTGCGCTGCCACCTTCAGTGATCTGTGGACCTGCACACCCAGATCCCTCTGCATATCAAATCTCCTAAGGGTTCTGCCATTCACTGTATAATTTCCACCTGTGCTTGACCTTCCAAAATGCATTACCTCATTTGTACAGATTAAACCCCATCTGCCATTTTTCTGCTCATGCCTCCAACTGATATATATCCTGTTGTATCCTCTGACAATCCTCCTCACTCTGCAACAGCACCAATCTTTGTATCATCCACAAACTTACTAATTAGACCAGCTACATTTTCCTCCAAATCACTGGTGGATCACGAACAGCAGAGGTCCCAGCCCGGATCCCAGTGAATCGTCACTAGTCACAGCCCTCCATTCCAAAAAGCATCTTTCTACCGCTACCCACCATCTCCTATGACAGATCCATTTCCCTATTCATCTTGCCAGCTCACCCAGATATCATGTAACTTCACCTTTTGTACCAAATCTAGCATGAGGGACCTTTTTAAAACAGCTTTACTGAAGTCCATGTAGACAGAAAAAAAATCAACCACTTTTCCATCAAGCATCTTTATCACCTCCTCAAAAAAACCTTGATCAGCTTAGAGAGGCACAACCACCCCCGCACAAAACCATGCAGTCTATCAGTAATAAATCCATATGCTTCTGAATGCACGTGGATCTTGTCCAAGAATCTTTTCCAGTACTTTCCCTACCACTGACACAAGACTCTCAGGCCTGTAATTTCCACGATTATCCTTGTTACCCTTCTTAAACAATGGGATAACATAGGACAGGAGAATAGTCACTGGGACCTCACTTGTGGCCAAAGAGGAAACAAAGGTGTCTATTAATGCTCCAGCAACTTGTTCTCTTGCCTCCCTCAATGTACTGGGATAGACAGGAGAAACAATGGCAGCTTCATATTATTTTGTAACTATAATTTCATTTTTAACATGTATCGTCATCTAACCCAAAAATCAGAAACTCTGCTCAAGTACAAAAAGACAACTCCAAATTTAAGATTTTCATTCAAGAAGCAGAAGCCAGTGCTCGCAATGACACATCAGCTTTGTACACAAGGCAGTGCTGTACACTACTAGTGCTCCCCTTTTCTCTCCAACAGGGGAGGAATTTGTAAGAATTTAGGAATGTCGAGGTGGTACAGCTGGCAGGAGAGCAGTAGAGGATGCGCCCTTTCTTTATGGGAAACGAAGGCATGCAGAAAGTAACATGCAAAAAAAAAAAAAAAGTTACAAATTTCAATTACTGTGCTCCCTCTTCATTAGCTTAGAGAGAGAAATAATTTTGGGCCCATTACGTTCTCTGAGCATGCCAGCCCACTTACATCAGAGCTGCTGTTCCTGAACATTGATGCTGCCAGCGTAGCAAACTTCAGGAGCTGCTTCCTATTGTGTGGTAGAGGAACCCATTTTCTGGATTACTGAGAATCTCTTGTAGTGAAGAACATATAGCTTATCACATGTAACTGGATGGGGACAGGTTACTTTGATGGATATTGTGATGGTGACCAAGGACCAGAAACCTCATCCCTTCAAAGAGCTTAAGGAGTTCGACTCAAGTCTATATGACAACATAGTGGATGGTACTCAAGGCATGTCAGTATTAACCCTTTCAGAGCCATATAAAAATGTCATAAAACAGCAATATAAAACAAAGCACTACTAAAAACACTTAACCTCACCCGAGGATAATCCTTTCTCATTTTCAATAGAAAAGCCCAGAACATTAGTTAAGAAAGCTGAAGGATTCGCAACAATCTTCAGCCAGAAGTACTGAGAGGATGCTCCATCTCAACCTCCTCCACTAGTCCCCAACAGCTCCCCTAGTCAAACTTTTCCAGTATAGCTACAACACTGTCATCTACCTGACCCAAAATGTGGCAAGTAACAAGTACTGAGTAGTGACCATCGTACCACTGTCCTTTAACATTCAATGGTATTACCATCACCAAATCCCCCAACATACTTAACATTGATGATGCCTCAGCCCAAACATCCTGGGGTTTGCCATTGACCAGAAACTGGAACTGGACTCGCCATATTAGCAGTGACAACAGCAGGTTAGAAGCCAGGAATACTGCAACACGCAACTCCCCTCCTGGCTCCACAAAGCCTGTCCACCATCGACAAGGCACAAGTCAGCAGCACAATGGAATACTCTCAATTTGCCTGGATAAGCGCAGTTTCAACAACACTCAAAGCCTGACACCATACAAACCACTACTGTGGCCACTATTGCAGAAATTTTCCAAAGATCCTTAGACAGAACTTTCCAAACCCATGACTACTACAACCAAGAAGGACAACAGCAGCAGATACATGGAAAAACAACCACCTGCAAGTTCCCCTCCAAGCCACTCATCGTCCTGACTTGGAAATATATTGCCATTCCTTCACCTGTTGCTGGGTCAAAATCCTGGAATTCCTTCCATAAACAGCATTGAGAATCTACCTACTGCATGCGGGCTTCAGTTTGTGAAGGCAGCTCACCATGATCTTCTCAATAGCGACTAGGAATGGACAATGAATGCTGCCCAGCCAGCAACACCCATGTCCCATGAGAATTTTTTTTTTAAAAAAGTTAGCAGCTATAATTATGCACTGCAATGTTCCACAAATGGGTTAGAAGCAACTTAAAATTTAGAAGTCAAGGGAATGCCCCCTAGAAAAAAAAAGCTCACCTCTTTCAAAATACAGGAAGTTCATATTCCCTTGCACCTTCAAAACAAGCAAACTAGGACTTTTTAAATTTTAGAAAGTCTCATCCAAAAAAGTGGCACTGGGCAAAAAAAAAGTTGGGGTATGTGGAAGTCCTGGACAAGGCAGTGACATTGCTTAGTTGGTAGTGCTGTGTTTTGAGTCAGAGCGGAAATCTCTAGTTAATGGGTAGGAAAGGATATTTACTGTAAATACCTTAAACCTCAAAAGCATAATACAAAGGAGCAGCAGTGGACCATTCAGCCCATCAAGTCTACCCCAAATTTGAGAAACTGGCTGATCTGATAATCCCTGCCTTATTCCCCATAACCCCTCAGTTCCCTTTCTGATTAAAAGATGTCTCAGCCTTGAATATACTTAAAAAGGGCCAGCTTCAACAGCCCACTGTGATAAAGAATTCACTACCTTCAGAAAAAAAATTCTTCTTCATCATATCATAGAATATCACAGAATCCCTAAAGTGTGGAAACAGGCTCTTTGGTCCAACAAGTCCACGCCGACCCTCCAAACCTCCCACAGTCCAAAAAGAGGTGCAGGCTAGATGGATTGGCCATGCTAAATTGCCCGTAGTGTTCAGGCTTAAATGGGGGATGATTCTGGGTGGGATGCTCTAAGGGCCAGTTTCCACAATGTAGGGATTCTATGTCATCTGTGAGGCTTTTGCACATGCACTTAATCTGTGTGACCCTCTGTAGATATTATGTTGTTACCTTCACTACTTGCCTCCTCATCCATGTTTATAATCCACAAACAAGCTGATAATTGTACAATCATCTACATCATTATTATACTGAAAGTAGTTGTGGACACAGCCCTGATCCCAGATGTTACTGCTCCAGTTACAGGATACCAACCTGAAAATGTCTCCTTATCCCAACTATCCTTTATTCATACTAAAATATTACCCACACCACCATAGGCCTATCTTAAATGTAGCTTTGATGATGCCTTCTCTTTGGATTTCCCAAAAATATGTACAAGCTCCCTAAAAAGATTTTTTTCTAATAAATTAGAACATACAACTGCCAGGAAATAAATTGTAAATAAACTGAGTTGTTGCAGTGTAGTAGATTGAAAGCTTAAATAACAAAAATATAAAATGTTAACTTATTGTAACAAATGTTTCTGTTACTGATGTAATCTGGCATGAATTACTTTTTGTCCTAAATACTAGTCAGTCACATTGGTCATCTTGGTGATCCAATTTTGATTTTAGACATTGAGATGGTTTATGGATCAGTGGGTCACAATTATTGGTGCACTCTTCCTTCAAGTTGTGACACTGGGCAAAAACAGCCCAATTAATTCAAAGTGGTGGCTGAGGTACCAATCTGACAATGGCAGCAGTGTGTAGCATCTATACAGATACACAGCATTAACTCACCCAGGCTCCTATAGCAACACCTTTTAAATCCCATAGCCTCTAATCACCTAGAAGGACAAAAGGCAGCAGATACATGGGAACACCACCAGAAAAGTTACGCTCCAAACCATACACCATCCTGACTTGGAACAATTTTGCTGTTACTTCACTACCAAAATCCAGGAGTTCTCTTCCCAACAGGTCTGAGTCTGCGCATACTCCATAGATTGCTGTAGTTGAAGGAAAGGGTTCACCATAAGGTCGATGAGGAAACAGGCAATACATGCTGACCTAGCCAGCAACACCCACTCACGTATTTATTTACTCACGATCCCAGGATACGAAACCCCAAGCGATTCAGGACTGCTTGAAAATCATTTAAGATGTAGTCTTGAAATTCTGAAATACACACACTCACCAATTGAATTCTCCACTTTGTCCAAACCAGCTCCCTCAACAGTGCTTGCAGTCATCCAGATGGGCTGTGATTTAACGGGCTTCACCGTTTTTTTCTTAGATTTAGCATCAGATTCTTGGACATCTACAACAATGTTTTGCTCATAGAGGTCATTGCAAACTGCTTTATTTGACCATTTTTCGGTATGATCGTTAGTGTTAAGGCCATGAGTCTTCGGATTCTGGCTGAAAATAAAATACAAACGCCACGTGAATAAAGCTTCGAATCATGACTTTTTTGAAAACGTACTAAATATAACCAGCTATGAAACCCTTTGTACGTAGCAACTACTTATATGAACAAAAAAAAAAAAAAAGGTCAACATCTTTGTTGTTCTGGAAAGTGGGCTCCTGCTCTGGTCTAATGATATCCTAAATCGTAAAAATGAATCTTCAGTATATTCAAGCTCCAGCTGTCGCGAGGACTTGAACCTAGTGTTATCCAAAATAAACAATTTTAATAGAGCTGGTCTTTTAGATTTATATTAATGATGGATTTGGACAAAACACTGACTGTGATTACTTCATTGTACAAAAATAAATAGGTACTTTCCTTTCAAGTGTTGGCATCGTATAATTAGAATAGGATAGATCATGGAACTGTCATTTTAGACAAGCAGGATCTATCCTTGTAAAAATTTTTTTGTTTTGTAACATTTAGCTAATCAAGTTCTGTTCTCTATATATCCTGAACCATGTGCTGCTGACTGGAATCACTAACATTCAATTTATTCAAGGCACTGCCTGGTTGAAAAGCCATTTCACATGTATTACTCCTCAGGTAATAGGCTAGTACCCAATTTCAAATAATCCTTTATCAGAATGGAAATCAAGTGCTAAAAGAAATTTAGTGACAGACAGTATAATAAACAATTGAATTTCAGACACACGCTACCTTATTGCCAGTTCTGGGATCTCAGTTGGTTGTGGTTCCAAAAGATCGTATGGAAGAGCAATATCTTCCGTCTCATGCAAAAGTGCATAAATTGGTTCAATTTGTTCATTAAATGTTGCCAGAAGTGTTCGAGCATCACGTTTAGGTATTGCGGAAGCATCTTCTTCTACCTCAGTGTGACAGAATGTGCAGTTAAAGTTGCCTATAGGTTTTACAGGAACAACAGACAAGGATAACAATAAGAGAAGGATTACTAGGGGAGCACAGGATATCGATATTTGGCCTGTCAAGTCCAGGTGCTAACAGTGCTAAACAGTTAATCTTACTCCCAATATTCTCTATAAACCTACATTTAGAACAATTAAAGCTTTTGCCTTTTCACATTGCATTCTTAAATTTGGAGCACACTCTCCCAATAAATAAAGGAGTTGGGACAGACACCGCCAAAAATCTCAGGGAAGTTACCAGAAACTCTGGTTTGCTTCTTACCTCCCAGTCCCCAGTGTACATTGTTTAAATTTTAGTTGAAGCAAAGTGCAGGAGAATGAAAATGTAAAACATCTGTCACCACCTCCAAAAGGGTTTGCGAAAGGGACTGCTCCAGTAACAACTAAACACTTAAGATGGTGAATGGGAGAAAAACATTACCCTCTGCTTTGGGATTTGTTACCTCACCTGTATCCTTCTGTTTTGAGTGCACTTTAAAGTGTAATTTACTTGAAATGCCATCCACATTAAGTCATGAGCAAAAAAAAGTGCTCAGCAATTATTTCTCCCAGGATCACATCTTTCAGCCTTGTATTGCACAAGTATTTTCAAATTCCCAAATATTGACATTTTCATTCTGTAAAAATCATACACTTGGACTACACCTAAAGTTAACTTTAGAATTACTCAAAGCCAGAGATGCAATTTACTGTACTGCAAAAGGTGCAACACAAGAAATAAAGAGCAGGATCTGATGGGGATAGTGCATTGCAACTGATGGAAATGGAGAAGGAGACAGTGAACATGTTGCTAATTGAGACCAAATCAAGTGGTAAGGACAATTGTAAAGTACTTGCTGTTATGTAAAGATAACCATTTATTTATTTGTTAGGAAAAGATGTAGATGTTTCTCACACAAAAGCCTTATATTAAGTTGTTAAAATGTGCTAAGGGACATATCAAATAGGTTCATTTAGGCCTATTCATCCAAGTTAGTCCATGGTTACAACTTGAATTTTTTTTGTTGCAGTGGCCCCACCAGCTTTAAGTCCTATGCGAAGCTCTTTGTATTCGTCAGACCAAAAGACTTAAATACTATGGCAGCAAAAGCAGGATCAGGAGGTTAAGAATCACGCACTAAGTAACTCACCTCCTGATTCCCCAAAGCCTGTCCAACTTCTACAAAGTCAGGAATGTGATGGAATACAACCCCCAGCAAAGTTTGTTTGAATCACATCCCATCCAAAATAAAACAAAAAGTCCCTTCACTATCAACACTCAGCAGCAGTGTATCATCTACAAGATGCATGGCAGAAATTTACCAGGACTCCTTAGACAGCACCTTCTAAACCCACATCCATTTCCATCCAGAAGGGCAAGGTCGGCAAGGGAAGACCACCACCACTAAGTTGCCCTCCAAGCCACTCTCTGTCCCAACTTATTGCCATTCCTTCACAGTCATTGGGTCAAAAATCCTGGAATTGCCTCTCTAATAGTACTGTGGGCCTACCTACAGTGGTTCAAAATGACAGCTCACCAGCACCCACAAGGTCAAGTAGAGGTGGATACTAAATGCTGGCCCAGCCAGCGACCCCAGTCAGTGAATTAAAAAACAACAAAAAGGCTTCAGTGGCACTTGGAGGTGTGTGACTATTTTATTCAAATGTTAAGTTCTATATCAAACCACAATTGGTAACACTTTCTGGTCAACTCCACAAGAGTGACCCATAAATTTCTAAACTCAATGATGCAACAGTTTGCTAAATACCACCTGTGAACTATAAAGCCCTTGAGAAAACAAACTGACAGCCACCCTGTGCCCTACTAAAAACATTCTTTCCCCACAGATGCGGCCGGATATGCACCTCTCAAACTAGGTTTTGATTGGTTCAGAATTGGGAGATCTGAACCAATTTGCTTCTTCCACGTTGGATGAGCCGATTTCAACAGACAACTCCGCAAGTGCCGAGTTCATCAAATTGTTGCAGGGGACATTTTGGTGTGAACACTGCAATTTAAAATATTACTGCCATTCCTACTGCACTGATCCTATATGGAAGTGCTATCGAAGTTCTGTGGAACTGATATCCCATCAACACACTCACATGATCAGACACCTTTCAGGTGCTTTCATTGTAGGACTGGGTTCAGGCGATCATCTCAACTCTCAGTACACCAGTGACATCACACATGGGAGAAAGCATTTACCTGCTCCATGTGAGAAAAACAGTTAGCTCACTCGGCAACCCTGCTGAGAGAGCAGAGAGATCACACATGGGGACAGACCATTCACCTGCTCTGCGTGGAGTAAGGAATTCACTCACTGAGCGACCCTACTGAGGCAGCACAGAGTTCACACATCTCAACAGTGATTGGACTTTTCAGTCCTGAATGTGATGAACAGCACTCAATGTTTTAATATTCTGGATAGAAGTCAAATAATTTAGCTTAGTTTTCAACACAGTGTGGCAGGTCATTTTAAGGATGTGATCACAGAGTACTTGGAAGAATCAGCATGGCTTCATCAAGGGGGTGGGGGGTAGGGGTGCGGGGTGCTGCGGTTTCATGCCTAACAAATCTGATGCAGTTCTTGGAGGAAGTACTGAAATGACCCGGATAAAAGGAGAGCCAGTGGATGCGATCTGTTGGATTTCCAAAAGGCATTTGACAAGGTGCCATACGGAAGCTGTGAAATAAGGTAAGAGTCTGTGGTGTTAGGTGCAAGGTACTGGCATGGATTGAGGAGTGGCTGACTGGCAGAAGGCAGAGAGTTAGGATAAAGGGTTCTTTTTCAGGATGGCAGCCAGATGACTACTGGAGTTCAGTAGGGGTCAGTGTAGGTACCACAATTATTCACATTCCACATCAGTGATCTGGACAAAGGAATTGAGGGCATTGCTGCTAAGTTTGCAGATGGCATAATGGTAGGTGGAGGGACAGGTATTGAGGAATTGGGAAGGCTTCAGAACGAACAGGCTAGGAGAGTAGTCAAAGAAGTGGCAGCTAGAACACATTATGGGGAAGTGTGAGGCTATGCATTCGGGTTAGAAGACTAGAGGCATAGATTATTTTCTGAACGGGGAAAGGCTTCAGAAATCTGAAGTCCAAAGGGATTCGGGATTCGGGATTCAGGATTCAGGATTCTCTAAGACAACATGCAGGTTCAGTTTCTGGTTAGGAAGGCAAATGCAATGTAGGCATTCATTGCAAGAGACCAAGCAAACAAAAGCAGAGATGTACTGCTGAGGCTATAAAAGGCTCTGGTCAGAATGCATTTGGAATATTGAGAGTAGTTTCAGGCCCTGTATCTGAAAAAAAGATGTGCTTGCGTTGGAGGGATCCAGAGCAGATTTACAAGATTGATCGCAGGGATGAAGGGCTTGTCAGATCAAAAAAGTCCCATATTAGACATAAACAACTTGGTTCAAATGAATCTCATCAGGGTATTCAGAAGAGGGAGATCAGGAAGGCAAAGGAAGGGTCTGAGATAGTCTTGGCTAATGAGGTTAAGAATAATCTGAGGAGATTCTACAAGTATAGTAGGAGCAAGGGAGCAACTAGAGAGGGGGGTCAGGCCCTTAAAAGGTCAAAGAGGTCATTTTTATGTTGAACATCAGGAGATGGGAGAGATATTAAATGAATATTTCATGTCAATTTTTACTGAGGAGAAAGAAATTGGGGCTAGAGAACTCAAGGGGAAAAAAATTGATGTTTTGCAAACTGTTCACATTAGAGGGGAAGAAGTCAGGGTGGTCTTAGAAAATATAAAAAGGTGGATAATTCTCTGGGCCTTGATCTAGTGTATCCTAGGACATTATGGAAAGTTAAGGAGGAAATTTCAGGGCCTTTTGCAGAAATATCTGTATCATTTATAAATACGGGTGAGATGCTGAATGACTGTAGAGTGGGTAACGGTGTGCATTTGTTTAAAAAAAGTGATGTAAGCAGAAGTTGGGGAACTGTAGACCTGCGAGTCTGACTTCAGTGATGGGTAAGTTGTTGGAAGTAATTCTGAAAGATAGGATTTATATACATTTGGAGAGGCAAGGGATTATTAGGGCTATTCAGCATAGTTTTATGCGAGCTAAGTCGTGAATCCCAAAGTTGATTTTTTTTTGAGGAAGTAACCAAGAAGATTGATGAGGGCAGATTACTACACATTGTTCACTTGGATTTTGGTGAGGCCTTCAACAAGGTTCTGCATAGTAGACTAATTAGTAAAGTTAGATCACATGGGATCATGGTGAGCTTGGCAATTGGATACAAAATTGGCTTAACGGCAGGAGACAGACTGGTGGTTGATGGTTATTCTTCAGACTGGAAACCTGTTACCAGTGGTGTTCCACAGGGATCGCTGCTGGGTCCACATTTGTTTATTATTTATATAATGATTTAGATGACAATATAGATGGTATTGTTCTTAAGTTTGTGGATGATACCAAAACTGGTGGTATCGCGACAGTGACGAATGTTGCTTCAGATTACAAACAGATCCTGATCAGTTGGGTGAAATGGGCTGAGGAGTGGCAGATGGCATTTAATTTGGACAAATGCGAGGCATTGCATTTTATTAAAAACAAACAACAGCAGGACCTGCTCAGTTAAAAGTTTGGTAGTGTTGCAGAACAGGGAAACCTAGGCACTCAGGCACATTTTGAAGTTTGCGTCATATTTAGACTGGATTGTTAAGAAGTCGATAAGTAAGCTTGCCTCCATTGCTCAATCCTTTGGGAAGTCATGTTGAGGTTGTACAGGACGTTGCTGAGGCCTCTTCTGGAGTACTAAGTCCAGTTCTGGTCATCCTATTATAGGAAGGATATTATTAAGCTGGGGAGGATTCAGAACAGATTTACCAGGATATTGCTGGGAATGGAGGGATTGAGTTATAAAACAAAAAAGAGGCTGGGACTTTTTTTTCACTGGAGTGTAGGAATTTGAGGGGGGACCTTATACAGGTTTATATAGCCATTAAGCATATAGAAAAGGTGAATGGCAGTTGTCCCTTCTCTAGTGTGAGGGTTTCAAGACTCTGGCACATATTTTTAAGTGAGAGGTGAGAAATTTAAAAAAGACATGAGGGGAAACTTTTTTTTTTTATACACAGCGGATCCTATGTGGAATGAAGTTCCAGAGGAAGTGGTGGATACGAATACATTTACAGTGTTTAAAAGACATTTAGATGTATGCACGAATAGGAAAAAGGTCCGGAGGGATATGGGCCAAGAGCAAGCAAGAATGACAAGTTTAGTTTGGGATTATTATGGGAATGGACTGGTTGGACTGAAGGGTCTATTTCCGTGCTGTATGACTCTACTGAGTCAGGAGAAACTTTGACTACAACACGCGTGCACGCTTAACCCCCTCCACAATTTAAAATTTATCTAACATTATTTTAAAACTGATTCCGTGAAAGGACGTACTTTCTGGGTGGGGGGTGGAAAGAACAGGGCAAGATTCAGGAATAAATTGCAGAATCCCTTGCAGTATCCCCGTTTGAAAAACAAAGATCTTATTGAAAACTTTTGTTGGGTGCTAACTCAAAATAACTCCTAGCGTGACACGAATTCAAAACAAACGTTTATCTGCCAAAACAAGGAATGAAACGCAAACAAAAGAGAAACATATGTTCTGGTGAAACCGATAAAGTCCCAGCTCACCTGTGTAAGGGTCAAACAAATGATTGACTTCCAAATCGGTAAATGTGCTGAAACAGAGAGGGCACTTGAAAGATGATCTTGTGCTTGAATTTCTCTCGTCAGTTTCAATTTTTCTGCGCATGATGTCCAGTTTGTATTTGACCACATCTACCAGCAGCTTGTAGTTGATGTAATAGTAATTATGTCTGGAACTTTTACCGTCAGCATTGGTTTCAACTCTTATTCGACTCTTAAGAAACTTGTCAGATTTCAAGGTGTTGAGGACAGAGCGGAGCTGCTTCTTCTCAAACTTCAATAGCTGTTGCAGATCATCCTCCTTCACACAGGGATAGCGAATGAGAATGTCCAGAGTGAGTGAGTATTCCACCCCGTAGAATCCACGCACAATGTACTTTGCTAAGCGTTTGAGAGATGCAGGGACTTCTGTAATGATGTTTTGATCCATGATACCTTTCCATTTAAAAAAAAACATTTTATTACATGTTTTGAGGGAATGCGAGTATTACCATTCCAAAGAACTAGACTGGCAAAAACCTCATCAAAACTAGAGACTTAAAGCAAATTCTACTCGTCTTAAAAGTGTTGACGCTTACTAATTGTAATCTGTAGAAGATGACCACGCTAATTCTAATGGAAATTCATTTAAATCATCCGTGTAGAGTTTGGACATTCTTCCCCCTATCTGTGTAGGTTTTCTCCCACAGTCCAAAGACACGTTAAAGGACAAAAGGGCAACTAGGGAGAGAATAGGGCATCTTAAAAGGTCAGCAAGGCCGCCTATGTGTGGAACTGCAGGAGATGGGGGAAGATACTGAACAAGTATCTTGTATCAGTGTTTACTATGGAGAAGGATATGGAAAATAAAGAATGTGGGGAAAGAAATAGCAACATCTTGAAAAACGTCCATATTACAAAACATAGTAGGAACTACAGATGCTGGATATTCTGAGATAACAAGGTGTAGAGCTGGATGAACACAGCAGGCCAAGCAGCATCAGAGGAGCAGGAAGGCTGACGTTTTGGGCCTAGGCCCTTCTTCAGAAACATCCTCTTCCCGAACAAGCCCGAAACGTCAGCCTT